TCTCTGGAAGAATTTACTAGCCAAGTATGGCAGAAATTCAGTGGCATCCTGTGCATAACTTTTAGTTATCGCTTTCAACACCTTGCCAATCATCTTGGACTTCCAAGCTAAACTGAATGCGAATTATGCATTAAGACCCGAATGACTTCAAACTTTTAACCGCTCACAACTTCTTCCAAAAAAATCCGCGGCGGATAGGAAGCTAGCTTTGGAATCAACACATCAAGACGCTTTTAACAAGATTTAACAAGATGTTTCAATCCATTTCTTCACTGCAATTCATCTCTCCCTTGAAAGAAGAAAATTATTTACAAGTTTTTGAAATGGAGGAAGGAATTTTGTCCCTTTGCACACTCTGATTTGACTTACAAGGAAGGCATGTTTATTCGGAGCGGCCTTTTTAGAAGGAATGTTTACCAGATTGAAAGGCATAAAATGCTGACTTCAAATCTGCCTTTCTTATCTGCGATGCATTTGTGGACGAGGAGTTATGGGCGTTAACTGGAGAAGAAAGTGAATGTACAATTATGTTGAAATGAGGTGCTAAAATCCTCCTAGCCCTCAAATAGAGCAACCAAGTGTAATATACTTCTCATTCAAAACTATTTATTGAACAAGGTCTTTCCAGCGCTTTAAGGGACAGTGATTATCATCACTGTCCCTTAAAGCGCTGGAAAGAATATTAAGGCGATTTTTGTCCAAATTGCAAGTATTTTTTCTTACTTCATTGAACGCTCTGACCCCTCTTCTACAAATGTTTCGCAGTTATGGAAGGCAGATTTGAAATTAGCTTTCATGTTCTTCAATATGGGGTACATGCCATTCAAAAAGACCACTTCGACTAAACATGCTTCCCTTGTTAGGAAATAGACTTGCAGCCTTTTCATCCTGTGAACCATCCTAGCTCTATCGAACATTGTCCCAAGCATCATTAATACACTGTTGCATCAAAATCTAATTATATTGGGCTTAAATATCAGCGAAAGTGCTACGAGAGCTGATCACAAATTGTCGTAACAGCGGTACATTTAAAAAAAGCATGATTTCTCATTGTATACTACAAGCCTCACTAGCTCTAATTTTGAAACCAATCCTGTATGTGCTCCTATAATCGAGTATATCAAGTTTTAGATGAAAAACCCGAAAAAATGACTTTATAAAAACCAAGTTGAAAATCCGAGAAATTTTTTGGAGGGAGATCTGATTTTTAAAGTCTATGAAAATTTTTGATTTTTCGCCTACTATTTTACCTGGTTTACGACTTAACAGATTCTGGGTGTTTTTTTTTCTGAAGAGCTTGCTTCGTTCTATCGAATGGTACCTTGAGTGTATTAGGAAAACGAGAACAGCACAATTTATTTGGAAATGTAATTTACTTTTGGGACAAATAATACTTTTCGATATAAATTTTTGGTAAGCGACGAGTTTTGATTCCTATCGAAGTCTTCAACGTGTTTGGCGGGTGATGTTACCTGCTGGTTACTGAAGTTTACTCATCTGAAGTTGACTCTCAATCATAGTTAAAGTTGGACAAGGGATGAGAAGTTGGTCAATGGAAATTGGAGTGCCCGTCATCAATCATTATAAGAAATTTGCGTGTTAGCCTTGAACGAGCTTTTAAAGTATTTTGGTATGTTAAATTCTACTTGTTATAGTTTTATTATGTCTTTAGTTGTATTTAGAAGTTTATTATGAAATTCAAAACCCGAACAATTCTTGTGTAGGAACACAAAATTGTTTTGGTTCAAAAAGGCGAACGCATAAAAATGAAAGCCAAAGCAAGACTGCAAATAGTTGGTGCGGGATTTTTAGTGCAGAGCTATGTTTTAGCCATCTTCCGAGAGCATTAGGCCTATAATGGAAATAGAAGGTTTAGCATGGCAATGCATTTTGAAGCCGTGAGGGACTCAGTTAGGATTTCGTAATGCAAATGTTTTTGCTAAGCGATGGGATAAGTTAAATGGGCTCCTAATGTTGTTGGTGTGGTAAGAATTACAAAAGGGCATAATGATTGCTTGAATTAGTTCAAATAGCATCGTACTTGTGAGGTCTTTCAGTGCTCCACTTTCTGAATCTTGCGGTCTTTTTCCTTCTTCTGGCATATAATTCAACTTTAAGTTGTTTGAACAATCAAGTGCTCTTAATTATAGTTGTTGAACACCTAGACAGAAATTGGTGCTCAATTTGAAAGTTAGAGATGAATTTTTTTGCATCAAAGAATCCGAAGCCAAAAAACTCTTTTCACCATTCATGTATCAGCTGCCAATTCAATGTACATGGGCCAAATCAAAATCCTTCTCACAAGGCTCTATTTATTTGCAGCGGTGGCTTTATCTTACTAACTACTTTTTTAGTCCCTCAAGCATTATGATTGCAATGTTCAATTACCTCATAGTTGTTCTTGCGTTCATTGTTGGCGTTAACAGCAATATGTTCGGAGGTGGGCTTATTGCAGTCTGATTTTTTAAAGTATCATTGGCTAGTGCTCTAGGGTCACTATTCAGGTGGAATGTTCGGTGGAAATTATGGGCTCGGTGGTGGAAAATACGGTGGTTTGATCGGTATCTGATCGGTCTTCAACTGATCGATCCATCATGATTGCTTTACCTTTGTCTAAAAGTTAATCTTTCACAATAAAGATTAATCATTGTCTTTTAATAATTGTTATCCAAGATGAAAGTACAGATTGTTTGACCTAGTTGACCATCTGAAAATAATGTAGTTCTGCAATTATTGTATCGTATAGCTGGCTTCACCTTGTCAGGTCAATAAGAAAGTTTTTAGGCGTTGCATCCACAAAGTTTTATTATGGGAGTAAAAAATGGGGTCGTCACAAGCACAACGATGAAAGAAAAGCAAACTCTACAAGACCATTAGGACATTGAATAATGATTTTTATAGAAATGGCCAAAAAAATTGAAAATATGGGCTAAAAACGAGCTCAAAATCCACCTTCCCTAAACACATTGGAACTCCCAAATGCTACAACATACATTTGCATATTAGCATGTATAAGCACCATGGAAGCCTGGAGATAGTAAGAAAGACCAGATAAGGGGTAAACTCTATTGACTTTAGGCTCCTCCTATCCTTTCAATATCAGTTACATGCATGCAAGTGTACAACCGAAAATGGAAGCCCTTTAGCTCACACATTCGAGAGAAAAAATGGCTTGATTTGCTTTGTTCAATCACATGATGGGCTTTTCCGTTAGGAAGAGGTGCTCCTCAAAACTTTCAAAACTGCGTGGACCAGTACAATGATATGCATCACGTGTGGGAACCACACTTCGATGAGGGTCCTACCTTTGTAAGATAGGAAATGTTTAGAATTTTTTATCATGTGATTATGTTAGGTGCAGCAAAAACGGAGGCTCTTCTGATAATCAAGTATGCTGTTTTCCATTTTTACACTCGTTTCAGCACTACTGATGCATGGCAGCAGCACATTATCATAACAATTTGGATAAAATAAAGTCTATTTGTTACACTGATTAACTGTGCCCAAAATATGGTGATAACAATCATTTTCCTTATTTCTCGCCGAAGAAATTTTACTCCACAAAACGTGAATTGCAAGTAGACTGTGTGAAAATTTAGCGTTTATAAGCCAGTGCAAATGATCTACTTATGCGATTTCCAAGCTTATGAAAGAAATTCTTTGACAACGCTTACATTTCTCTTTCTGACTAAAGACACGAACTTGTCATGCACATTTTTTTTATTTTTTGAAGGCGTCTCCACAGTTTTTGGCATAAAGCTGTTTTCAGTGGAACTGTGAATGACAAAGGCAATGGCTCAGCAAAATGAGCATCACAAAATTTTGATATGATTGGTTGCTTGTACAAATAAGAAAATTAGCAAATAGGAGCGCATAGCATGCTACTCTTGCCTAGAAAGGCTGCAGCCAAACCGTGCGCGCAAGGCACTCTTACCAGCGCTCGGACGAGTACAATTTTTCTCCCATTGTCGGAGGCGGCCTGAAGAAATCTTATGGCCATGAGGGTCCCTACGACTCTGCGTCTCTGGTAAAAACGGTTTCACTCGTTCAAATTCAAAATGTTGGAACCTAGAAAATGCTGGTTTTTGCCGTTCTCACGCTCTCCAATGTGCATTTTCGAATTCAGCATAGCGAATAGGCCCGGGTAAGCACAAAATCTCAGTGTCGAGTTTTTCCGGGCACTGCCTTTAAAGCTTTTCAACTGTTTTCTATGAAAGTCAAATTGTCTAGAACTTAACGCAGAACATCTTAATTCTTTTAGCAATAATTCAAAATTCTCTTCCTGTTAAAACTTTCCGCCATGCTAATTTACTCAGGACTATAAATGATGCTTGCGGTATCTCGCTGCTGCTTGTTTCGCCGCTTGGATAATGAAATCCTAGCACACTTTTCCATTTTGAGCAAATCTAATTTGTACAATAATAACAGAATGACATTATTAATCAGTGTTCATTTCTAAAAAAATTTTTTGAAAAAGGGTCATTGTTGACATAAATACAAATTGAATTTACGTCGCTTAATGAAAAACAAATCAGTAAAACCTGGTTAAACATTTAGATGACATGTAAAATTTTTCAAGCGAAGGATGACTTAGGTTGACTCCTTCCTGTGAATTTGGGAACAACTATGGTACAAGAAAAATAGCAATATCCTTTCTTGGAAAAATCGGTCCGGATAGCACCGATTATTTGTAAAGATGAAGAACGTGTCATTTTTCTATATAATTCGCTCTAGCGAAGGAGAGCTCATACAGCTGACCTATCTGATGCTGTGCAACTTTGAAAGATATTTGATGCAATCATTTCCAGAGCGTCTGCTTTATTCACATCTCCGTCAGTATTTCTTATTTGTTTTTTTATGGAGAAAGACGCTCAACGAAAGACTTCGGCTTGACGCAATGCAGTTTTTATACGTATAATTCAGCGTTACCTTACTTCACTACGCTTTTACACAAAATCTTTGGTTATCAAAAATTTGAGCAGATTGTACGTACAGTTTCAGTGTTTATCACAATGTGGTTCGAACTCCTCCTCTTGATTCTCTTCCACATCCCAAATGGAAGAGAAGTTGGTAAGTATCATAAAGACGCTTACGAGAATTTAATTTAGAAGCTCTAGACTTTTGTGATGTTCAGAAGGACGACTTAAATTTCCTGATTACCGGGGGCTAAGGACCCGCTTGGCAGTATATTTGTCACGAAGAGGTAGAAATTCAATAAAAGTCTTTGAGCCAGAGTGGATACAGGCGAATAAGCGAGGTGAATGTGAGACGAAAGATTGCAGTCGAGATTTCATGCTTAACTTACATATTGCTGATGCTCGTGCTTTCCACTGCTACTGTGATAAAAATTATAGAGCACCAATTCTGACACCTTGGTAAAGTTTAAAAACTATTGTTTCGCAAACAAATTGTTTTACAAAAATGATTGCTCGCATTGTTCGTTGCTGAAACAACTGTCTACTAGAAGATCTGACGCTCAATATAGTGCCCTCACAATGCCGAGATGTGGATGAACAAATAGCTACGAATGTGCGGTTAGCAACATTCTCTATCCTCAATTTCTACTCTGTTGCTAAATCAGCCTTGACAGTACGCCTTTACAAGGGATTGAGTAACTACGATAACAAAATCTTTGAAAGAATTATAAGAGCAATATTTGAAATTTGAAAAATTCCTAAAAATCTAAATACTACCACGAGGCTCTTCAGTTCGAAGTATCACATTTTGATATTCCATTTGTTCTCATCGGAAGCATGCATGACATATTGTATTTTAGCACAATTTCCTGTTATTATGTACTATGTTGATTCTACAAAACATGATTTTGAAAGAAAAGACGTTCAAGCGCTAGGAAACGTGAAAGGGAAGTGAAATGCATAAGTCTCCCGTAAATGCTTGCTTGTGCTGGGCTATGTACCATAAGACAATTTTGCGGATACGTGAAACGTGAATGAAGATTTAACTTTTGAAATAACCCTTTCCTGCTTTTTTTTAATTTCAGATACCAAGCTAGCTTTGATGACAAAGCCGCTTGCAATCAGAAGTAATTGGAAACAGGTTGCTGCAATTACTTATGAGGCAATGCTCTAAAAAACTCTTAGTCCCTGGTTCTCTTATTTGGGTACTCATTGCAAGGTCTTCTAGATAGTCCTCCAAAGGCCTTTTTACTGGTTCGTTTGTAGCCAAGTAACTTAGATTCAACTCCAGCCCGAACTCCAGCAACTTGTTGGGATGAAGTTTATAGTTATTGTTACAAACAAATTATTTGAGTTTTCGCGTCTGCCATGTGAGTTGTCCTTGCTAGGCGATGCAATTTATAAACGAAGCACAATCTATACGAAGCAGAATATGCAAATAGAAGATTTTCTCGACATTCTTGTTTTACCATCAGCTCAAAGGTGCGCTCGTTTGGAATTATAGTAAGCTCCATTTACAAAACTAAAAAAATTTTTTCTGAAAAAAGCGATATTCATCATCGATCGCATAGAAGAAACCTTGGGCAGAGACATCTTTGTTATATCTTTTCGATTTTGCGCAATATTTTCTTTTATGACCATTTAATCATGGTTGCAGTTTGATATTCGAAAACAACACAGTGAGTACACCAAAGGAATATCAACGTATGCAAAATCAAAACGATTTAGGCTTATATCACATCCTCACTATTTGCATGAGGAAGCTGGTAAGAAATTCCGCAAACGCTTATAACTCAGATTTTGAGTTTAAGAGTTTATTACAGGGCTCGGCACGAGGTGGCTAGTTAAAAATACAAAAAACGAAGTCCCCTTGACCCTAAACCATAATCCCTAGAAAATCTCCGAAAAACGAAACGTCGACCAAACAAAACGTCGCAAATTTTGTGTCTTTTCGGCCACAAAAACGAAACCCCCTTTGCTTTTTGTCCCGAAAACGATCCAGCTTGCCTATAAGCCACCTATGCCGAGCCCTGGTTTATTACATAAATGAGTCTCACTTCTATGCGGAAATGATCACGACAGCACTGAAAATTACGAGATGTGCAGCTAAACATATTGCTGCTACCACAAACACGATAAGGAGAACGACGCTGCAAAACTGCTTTTGAAGTACTTTTCGAAGGCATTAACCAGCAGAATCTGGCGACCTAGATGTGTGCGGATATGCATGGGAAGTTACTTATACAACAGCTCATTGAATCCTTTGTGGCTGAAGTAGGCAGCCGTAGACGCTTGCTCAGACTGTAATTTACCGTTCCCATCTTGTCTTCTTCCCCACATAAAATCTCCGGTGCTGTCCAAAGCTGTTCTCTAGATTTACATTTTAATGCCCTCGTCACCGCAATTGCTACCGTATACCTTCTCGTGCTCGATGTTCGTATTCCTTTATGCATGACATCCCATGATAAGATATTTTCACCTGCCAACGATCATCAACGGTGCAGTTCTGAAGGAAATGTCAGGTTTACTTGACCTGATAGAAAGCAGAAAAATTTACTTGAGATTTAAATCGCCCATGTTTAACCATGGGAGAGAAGTGCATAAGTGCAGTCCCTGAAAATGAAAGTAGAAAAAATTCTTGATAGAATTTTTTTTTACTTCAACATAATTGAAAGTGCGTAAAAATAGCAATCGTTTTGCACTACAGTAAGCTACAAAACTGCGCTTACTATGCGTCGCGGCCGCAGCAAAGCTTGCTAGTCCTAGAATGCTCCTGCATGGAAAATACCTTTACGGTGCAAAGTGGCCTACGCTGCCATAAATACGCTAAGGATCGTCCTCTCCATTAGACACCCAGTGGAGATTTCGAATATGAGCTGGAGCAGGACGGTTGCGGTAGAGCGCGGCACTCTTAGCCCTCAGTTTAAAGGCAGTGCCCAGGCAAATCTGGGCGCATGTATTTTGCGCCTAAAAATTGATGAGAGGGCCCTAACTAAAAACAGCCCAAGGGTCAGCACCAATTGGCATTCAAGGCTGAGAAATCCGCCCCCAAAATCCCCACTCCTGCACCGTAACTGTAATCCGAAAACGACTTCGCTTACTTCAACACTACGTTCGCGCTGGGACCCATCCTGAGTGTTACGGTCACGGCGCTCGCGGGGTGTTTGGGGTTGAATTTCTCACCGTGAATGTATTGTTCGCGCTGCAGCTTGAGCAGTGCCTTGACTAGAACGTCCTCATCAGTCTTCAAACAAAAGCGTACAGCGTGCTCCAGGATTAATTTCGAAATTGTCTAATAGGTGTCTACTGGCATGAGGATGACTGTATCTACCGCAGCTATATCCATCATCATTGACCGTATGAAGACGAAATCCATAGGTAGAGATCCCTTTGTGATAACTTCCTGCAATTTACATTTTTACATAAAAGGACCATTTTTCTCCAGAATTTTTATTATTATTAGGTCGTCCCGAAAGTATTTTCGCTTTTTTCAAACGATTGCCACAATCGATGGAACAAACCTTTCTATGAGGTCTTGGTAGCGTTCGATGCAGAATTTCATTCTCTTTCTAATGGTTATAAAACTGTTGCAAAACATTCAATGAGCTTTCAGAAAGTAACCAAAATCTGCGACCTATGCTTTTTGAATTGGTCAAGTTTCACGATTTTTTAAAATTTTCATATCAATCCTCAGAAGGAGTCCAAGTAACGATTCGATAGAGTAAACCTCATAGAATACAGTGCAACTTTTTTCCCTTTTCCATAGCTTGTCATAAATTTTTAATAGAATTTTAACTGATGCTACCGATTTCCATACTTGGACAGCTAAATTCTTGTAGAAAATCAGAGGAACAGCAGCTCGAGTGCTGTTGATGCAGCATTTTCTCCTCTTTCTAATGGGTGTTTTTTGTTTCCGATTCGTTTAGTTTTCGGGAATAAAATCATCACAATTCATTTTTTAAGGAGCCCCAGGCTGTACCCGGAAAACTCAAAATTTGATATTTCGAATCCGTAAACTCTCATTTGCTTCATAAATTCAATATTAAGTCATATATAATCTTGAAAGCTTGAAATTCCGAGTAACTACTAATGTTTGATGCGATTGTGGCCGAGGTGGGACTGCCAAAATCCGATGGCTTTGTTAAAAAATCTTTTAAAAAATTACGGCGAGCTACGAGAAAGAGAAAAAAAGTGCTGTATTCTATGAGGTTTACTCTATCGAATCGTTACTTGAACTCCTTCTGACGATTGATATGAAAGTTTTAAAAAATCGTGAAACTTGACCATCTCAAAAAGCATGGGTCGCAATTTTGGTTATTTTCTGAAAGCTCATTGAGTGTTTTGCAACACTTTTAGGACCATTAGAAAGAGAATGAAATTCTGCATCGAACGCTACCAAGATCTCTTAAAAAGGTTTGTTCCATCGATTGTGGCAACCGTTTGAAAAAAGCGAAAATACTTTCGGGACGACCTAATATATATAGGTAAGTTTACCTGCAGCGTTCCTCTGGAACAAAATCTCCAGAGCGAATACACAAGAGCAGTGTCGACAGATACACCAACAAAACCATTCAAATTGTCGTGGTCGATTTGACGCATCTGCAAAAGGAAGTGTTTCTTTCATCCTCAAAATTGTAAACTTACCACATTGACATTAGCGTCCAGTTGAACTGATATCAATCTTTTTGGTTCAGCTGATTTTCCTACCCCGGTCACAATACGTATGGTATTCTAGACCCATCCCAAGCTTCAATCACATCACCGAGAGCTCCTGGTAATAATTGGAATGGAATCCAGCTACAGAAAATGAACTGCGCAACCTACCTGGATAAAAACCCTTTGTCCTATTGAATAAATATGCTCCATCTCTAATATTCTGATTCAAAGGAATGGTTCTGTTCAAAACTCCTGCATAGACCATCATGGCATCATAAAGTTGCGTTTTCATATTGGCCCATTTGGCAAGAAGCACTTATTTTTCATGACGTTATTTACTGTTGTTGTTTACCTCCCATTCCTGGCCGTTCACGCATCTTGCGCAAGGAATACCTAGTTCGGCTGTTTTTTTCGCCACTTGTTGCGTAAAATTGGCTAGTCCGGATTTCGAATCTCCGTCATTGTCCACCTAGATATACGGTGTATAAGTCTTTTGATATGATCACAACCAAACGCATTGTTGAGGAAAATCTGGATGCCCGGGTTTTCATGGAAGTGATTGGAAGGCTATAGCTGAGCCACTAGCCAAGCAACAGCCCAAATCATTCATTCGTGACCAAGAAATATCACTTGAAACTCCAGCCCAGATCGTATTGCTATCGTACCCCTTGGGGAGATTACGGTATGGGTTAGAGAAAGTTGAATTTCTCAGCCGCGAATAAAGAGTATGAGCTGTAACTCGGGCAGAAATTAGAGCTCCCCCCTCCCTAATCACTTTCCATATTATTAGGAAACCCACCAAAGTTTTTCTAACAACCCCCAAATTTCTTACATCACTAAGCATAAACGTCCTTGTGAATGCTTCCAGTGCTTCCTGGTCGCGGCCATCAAGTGGCCATATCTTGTTAAACATAAATGGTACGGTTTCGGGTATTTGCATTTTCTGGGATTTTTAGGTACTTTTTAAAAAAATCATATTTTTTCTAAAGTTCTTACTGTATCCGGAATCCAACAGATCCGCAAAAATGTAGATGTATTCGTCATTAAGCATATTTTGATCCTTTGCTGTTAGCTTAAACATTTGCTTGTTGTCTGGACTGTTTAGGCACACAACAATTACTGTAGAAGGTAGTAGATTGTGACAAAAATGCGGCATATAGTATAAAAGTGCCTTGACAGCATTAAGCTCTTACTTCTTGCCTGAGTGCTTATTTGTTGTAGAGCATCGGTCGTTTCGGATACGGAATTGTTCCGCATCTCGATGACATCAGAAATACTGAGGTTGACATTTTGGAAAACCGCTTTCTGAATATTTTATATTATGTGTTTTTTGAAAATATTTTTGTTGGAGTTTGTCCACAATAGACAACAAAATTTCAAAACTTTTAAGGATAGGCAGGATAGTATGTGAGGCAACCGCTTTATGCTAAGCTACAGCAAGTTCTGGAATTTTGACCTCTACATACAGTATAATTGCCGTAACCTGAAATGATGCCGTGTTATGAATAAATTGATAGTAATTTTTTGATTACCACTTCTGATCTTCATGTAAAAGTTTCTCGCAGACTTTTGGCTTTGAATTTTTGACTTGTATAGAAATTAAATAAAATTCTTTTGTGCGTGACTCTCCTGGACATCTGCCAAAAAAATTGGGCACTTTTGTGCATCTTCGCTAGCTGAGTAGATGAAAGCAAAAGCGTCCCAACTGAAGTGATCCATGACGGCTAGCAATGCTAAGCTCAACCTGCGCATAAAAGCGAGTTACTACAATTTTTTAAAATCAGTCACCTACGTCAGATAATTTGGAGTAAGTACGACACATGTAGGAAATCTGATAGTATCCGCAAGTTCATTAGCGGTTGTAAATCCCGTATAGAGCGGTAGATTGTAATATGCTGTAATGGCTCCAACGGAAATCGAGGCTAAAGTGCGAAATTTTATAGAAAGTTGGCAGAGGACTTTCGAAAATTAATCGAGAAAAAACTTACGAATATTACAAGTTGGACCAACGATTATGTCTGCTTTGAAGTCGCGAATCAGCTCAAAAGCATAGCCAGCTGCTTGCCTTTCTATACAGTTATCGAAGCGGACAGTGACACTGGAAAATTGGAAAATATTGCAAATTGGTAGGGTTCAAGATAATTTGGGTATTTGAACTTTTTGTGTGGACACAGAGGGCATAGCCAGAGCCATTTTCCAAGTAGCAGTTCATACATGCCAATTTGTGGCCGAGAAAAACAACGCTCAAAGCTTGCCCAGTACCGTATTCCTCGCGGGGACCAATCTATTACAGTAGTGGGCAAGCATTCAGAGGTGAATGTCTCTGCCAAGAAAGAATCATATGAGCTGCATCTTGGGCTATGGCCTTATTAGCGCCTCCCAGTCAGTTTCCATTTGAAAAATTTACACACCCAGATTCGCTTGGAGACCATTCTAAATGAAAAAAAACTCACTTGAAAGTATAGCCATCGAGAAGTCGAGAGTCTCGAATGCTGTCAATGGCTAGATATAATGCTCCAATACTGCCAGTGTAGCCGACATAAGGTGAATAACTTAAAAATAAATACTGTTCTTTTTAACAAGATGAAAGTGAACTTAACTGAATTATCATCGACAAATAGCTTTCCAACATTGATGACTTTTCTCCTTGTCGTTGCTACTGGGGGAAATAGTGGTACTTGCTAAGAGTTGACTACCTTGAAAGTTTATATATAAAACAAGTTTTACAGAAAATTTCACTATGAGCGTACCTGAAATGAATGTAGCAAAACAAAGAACGCTCCTATCATACGCTTGAACCAGACAATTATGCTGTTTGTGTTCTTATATTCATATGGTTACACAATTATTTGTTTTTCTACTGATATGCTGATTCATAAGACCCCTTTGGCTCATAAACACGCATATTCCCTACAGTAATACGAAAACCGTGATTGTGTATCGAGATTTATCACTGTCTAAGTTTCAATAAGCATAGGCTCTCATCCGTCTAAATGTTAACACGCTGATGACGAACAATTTTTAAGGGTTTGTTCCTGTAAACGAGACGTCTCCGTGTACCTCTAGGCCTGGTGCATGTATGTATGCATGAAATATAATACGAGCGAGCTCCGCCCCCTTGTGCCAAGCTCCGCCCACTTGACCAAAACGTCGGAAATTGCCCATTTCCGCCATTTTTTGAAAAGTGGGGAGCTTGCCTGAAAGGGCGGGACCTTGATCGAGGGTGTTTGAGGTCTTTGCGTTCATCTACGGCCTCTCCTGTGCCTTTTGTACAAAAAAAGGAACTTCGTGAAGGGCATAGGAGTGGTATGTTAAGAGGGGCGGGGCCATCATATGAAATACATCTGAGCCTATTTTGATTATATGAACACAAACTGAGAGGAATGAGCAGATAAGATCGAAGTTAAGGCCGCCGCGCACCACTGCGCGGCGTCGTCCACAGGGACAGACTGCCTGCCGCGCATCATTGCGCGGAGATGTCATCAAAGTATTAACATCTCTTCCCTTAGGTCTGTGAATCTGACGTTTCAACTTTATCGCCGTCTCCAAATCCTCGTGAAGAACAGAACATCTGATTTGGTTTACGCGAACATATCAACATATGCAAGAATACTTCAAGAAGCACATCAGATTCTTGTCGGCCTAGAGGTGAGAATGGTTTTGATCAGTGTAATTTGTGCTTCACCTATCCGCAATGTGGAACACAGTAAAGCTCGGTCAGCTCAGGTGATAACAAGCCAACACTTCAGGTTCGTAAGGTGAACCTTGCAGCGGCCACTCATCCATGCCAAAAGAATGCAACATGACCTGCCAGGTGAAATACTGGTTACTTAGAAATGCTGAGTTATACATTTGAAATGCTTGGAATGAAATTCTACAGATTTGCCTTCACTACTAAAGCGAGCTGTGTTCTAGACAAAGACAAAAGCCTTTTGTAGTTTTTAGACTTTTCCTGCAAGTGGTGAGAAAATAAATCTAGTAATCTAAGCTATGTGATCTCTGAGGAAGACGGCTAGCCAAAGCAATGGTCGAATAAACGGTTTAACAATGTCGGTTGCGACTAAAGCAACGCAAACATCTAACAAGAGAAGGATGCTTAGTCGTAGTGGTGTTTTCAAATAAAATATAAACCATCCATTAGAGCATGGAACGCTGAGTTCCAATCTGCCTTTAATATTTGCAAAGCGCTTCTGGGAGGTGAATTATAGGAATTAGTGCCAGAGCGCTTCAAGCTATGGCCCTTCGTTATAATAAATTCAAGCACTCATCACTAATTTCAAATACCGGAAAGATCACAACACCTGTTCTTACTTCAGCCAGATGGTTCATTTTAGATCCCCACAACTACCCTCCTAGGAGCACAATGCAGATAACGAAAGCAGTTTCGGAATCATACTCTATAAAACGGTCTTCGTTTCATATAGAAACATCACTTCAGTAAAGAATCCTTCCCTTGTGAGTCCTACGCCATAATATACTGTAAGTGGTATATGAGACATTCCCGCCTAGTATCAACAGTTGCTAGAAAATAGCTACTTTTCCAAACCGATTTAGTACGCGTTTTCAGTGTTTTTCTACTCACAACCTTACGTTTAATGCTTTCGTATCCCTCAGAGGTCTGTATTATTCCAAACGTCATCTTTAGTGCTATTTGCTATATTTAGCCCCAAGGATGCCATCCAGTGCTGCTGATAATCCTTGCTATCACGTATGCCAATGCAGAAGAGACAGGTAGGACAGGTCAATATGTCATAAAGCACGATTTGACTCAGTCGAACTGAGCTCTTCCCCGAAGGAAAGAACTTGCGACGGTTAGCTTCATGCTTTAAGTTGAAACTTGGAGTCAGGAGTCGAATGAAAAGATGTCTAGTCAAGTGCCACGGGTCAACTCAACGTACTGCCCTCAAGTCGAAGATAGGTCGTAAGCTGATAGAGTTGGTGAGCTGCGTTTAGTTTTTGGTAAGGTTAGGTAATTTTAGGTTTAGGTAATTCACGGGACATAAAAGTGACTATTCCGGCCCGAAATGCAGGAAAATGCACTGTTTCGAGCTTGTGGACAAAGGGGATTGATGAACAGCTGATATAGGCTAAATATTAGGTTGGCTCGAAAGTTCTGGGACATTTTTAGACGAGATGGTATGCAAAAGTTTGCACCAGCTTCGACCCAGCGTAAGTTTGAATCCAGAATCTGACAAGGAAATGGTCAA